CTTCTTCTTCTTCTTCTTCTTCTTCTTCTTCTTCTTCTTCTTCTTCTTCTTCTTCTTCTTCTTCTTCTTCATTTATTTATATTTTATTTTATTTTTTTTTGGTTTTTTGAGACAGGATTTCTCTGTAGCTTTAAAACCTGTCCTGAAACTAGCTCTTGTAGACCAGGCTGGGCCTTCAACTCACAGAAATCCGCCTGCCTCTGCCTCCCAAGTGATGGGATTAAAGGTGTGCACCACCACCTTTAATCTCTAAACTCTAAATTCAGCTTCTAACAATCTGCTTTTAGATAAAACTTGAAATGCGGGCTGGATTGGCTTCAGCTAGCTTCACCCTCTCTGTGTCTGGGAAGACAATGAATGCAACATCTTATGGCCAGAAATCTGTTGCTTTGCTGTAGCCCCTGCCTCATGACCCACCAGTGGGGTTGGTTGGCTGGTTGGCCTTTTCATTTATTTAGTTATTTTTGTAGGGTCTTACTGAACCTGGAGCTTGTTTCATTTCAGGTTGGTCTCTCACTTATAGAGACCCTCCTCCTCAGAATGCTGGGATCACAGGCATGACCCAACACACCCAATCCTCGCTCTGTGCTTTGTATAAATACTGACTCCGGCTTCCATTTCTGGGACTGCCAAGGTCCACACTAGGCCTGGAAGTACAGGCCTGAAACTCCAATTTCTAGAGGCTGAGGCCGGAAAAACATGAGCTTAAGGCCTGTCTAGGCTCCCTGGGTAACTTTGTAAGACCTTGTCTCAAAATCAAAAGCGGGAAAATGAGTTTCGGAGACTCAAGGGCTGGGATTTGCCAACATGCTATGATTAAGGTGTTTTTAATGATAAAATAAAAATTATAGAAGCTGGGGGGCGGGGACAGTCCAACTAGAAGGCAACTTCCCCTGTAAGCAGGAAGGCCTAACTTTTATCATTTTCATCAGAGGAACTAAGCCAGGCAGTGTACTGTCTGTGAACATAGCAGCTGGGGAAAGGGAGGCTCGGAAGGTCAAGGTCATTGGCCATGCTGCTTCAATTCTGAAGAAAGCCTGAATTATGAGAGGCCCTGTCTCCCCAGGTGGTAGTGGCCCAGCACTCTGGGACAGAGGCAGCCAGACCTCTATAAGTTCAAGGTCAGCCTGTTCCACCACCACTCCACTAGACCTGGAATGTGAGGGGAAATACCAGGTCAGACAGCCAGACAGCTTGAGGGGACAAAGTTCTCCAAATACAGGAAGCTGCATACTGGGGAAGGCGTGCACTGCTTCTCAACAAAAATAAATACATTTTAAAATCATCTCAAGCTTTTCTCTGAATATCTCTCCTAACAGTTAACAGAGCTCAGTGACTTCCCGGACATTGGAAAAGGGAATCCAGGAGCTGTAGAGTTGGTTCAGTGGTTAAGAGTGCTAGCAGCTGTTCCAGAGGACTCTGGCTCAATTCCCAGCACCCACATGGCAGTTGACAACTGTGTATAACTCCAATTCCAGGGGACCTGACACCCTCCCACGCGCATACAAGCAGACAAAATATCAATGCACATTAAATAAAAATAAATAAATCATTAATTTAAAAAAAAAATGAACACCAAACTCCAAAACCTGCCCACCAGCCCACACGGGTCACGCCGTACCCCTCTCCAGCGCTCTACCTAAAGCAAACTTTTCTTCTGGCCTTGCCAAGCTCCCAAACCTGACACAGAACCTCAACTCCCAGCAGCTTTTGTGAGGCTTCCCCTTTATCCTCCAAACAAATTATTTCCTACAAACATTTTTACTTTGCAAGACTCCAAAGTAAGGACAGCACTGCAAATATATCTATGCCCTAACTTCCCCTGTCTCATTTTCACGTCATATACAATATTACACAGTACTCACAGACACCAGGAGTACCAGACTGTTTTCCACAGCTTTCTTCTTAATTTTCATGTTAACTTGGCTTAAGAAGGGCTTTCACAGACTTTGTAGACTCCCCCATGGGAGGCCTTACCCTTTCTGAGGAGTGAATGGGGGATTGGGTGGAAGGAAGGTGTGTGTGTGATAGGAGGGGGAGAACAGGAGGATGGAAAGGAGGGGGAACTGTGGTTGGTATGTAAATGAAAAAAAAGTTGCCTTAATATCTAGAGATTTGCCTCCCATTGTCCTTCACACAATCCCACAGCATCCCATGTGGTACAGAAACTCTAAGAGAACTATCCTGATTGCTTCTCTCCAGCATGAGTCTGCAGAAGACTGTACTTACCAGTTAGGTAGGAGAGCCACAGCTTCTTGTCACAGTCTCTCCTGCTAGTCCTCTGCTGCTGATGGAGTCTTCCAGATCTGCCCATGGATAGGCGAGTCTCTCCCAGAGTTCCATTTTTATCTCTTGGCCACGCCTTCAAGTATTTTGTTTGAAAACTGTTTCTCATTGGTTCTATAGTCTTTCACCAGATAGCATCTATTTACTGACCTAAAGAGACTTTAAGAAAATCCTTAAAATAGCATTCAGAGTGGCTAACGTGGTGCACGCCTTTAATCCCAGCACTTGGGAGGCAGAGGCAGGTAGATCTCTGTGAGTTTGAGACAAGCCTGGTCTACAAGAGCTAGTTCCAGGACAGGCACCAAAGTGACAGAGAAACCTCGTCTCTAAAAAACAATAATAAAAAAAAAATAGAACTCAGTAAGCAGAGGCAGGCTGATCTTGTGAGTTCCAGACTAGCTTGGTCTATATAGAGATATCCTGTTTCCAAAACAAACACAAAAAACAAGAACCAAATCTTTGCTGGAATGTCTCTACAGCCTCAGCAAAGGTCCTCACCTGAGTTCAGACTCCAGGCCTGGAGATCATGCCGACTCTAAGATGGTTCCTGCATAAAGGGAACTTAAATACCTGGACAAAATTTGCAGAGGAATAAAGGGAAAGGCAGAAGAGGCACAGACTATAGATAGAGCCCCGTGGGGTCCCGGTGCAGAGGCAGAAGTGAAAGCTGACACCTTATACTCACTGCTCTGCCATTCAGCTACCATCATCCTATCACATGTTCACTTACAGCCCAAGTTATCAGTGGAAAAGTCTCAGCAAATGAAGCTAGAAGAGAGACTCTGCTTGCAGAAGTGAGGGAGACAGGATGCAACTTCCAAAGTTGAGCTTCTCTGAGCCTTAACACCATTTTCATGTCTGCTAACTGGCCTATGCAGGCTTCCAGCATTAGGTTTTTGTTTTGTTTTGTTTGTTTGTTTTTGAGACATGGTTTCTCTGTAGCTTTGGACTACAGAGTGGTCCAATTATACTAGTGGGTGTTCAGGATCCCAGTGTACCATAGAACCTCTCTCAGAGTGAGCCTGTAAGCACAAAAACCACGTCCTGGTTTGACACACTTCAGTAAACAAGAACAGTTAGCCAGAAGTGGAACTACAGAAACTGAAAAGCAAGGTCACAGCACTTAGAGACTTTCCCGGAACTGTGCATGTTGTGATGAATTAGGCCTTTTGTTAAATTGGGAGTTGCATTGCTCTGGACTCCAAATCCCAGCATGCCAGGTCATGATCCCTCCCTGGGGTAGGGGTCAGAATCACTCCCACAGGGTATTTAAGTGAGCTCCCAGAGGAGAAACATGTGGTTTTCCGGTCTATATGGGCTCCCTGCTGCCCTGTCTCCCTGCCATGTGCTCAGCCACCCGAAAGCGTCATTCTTAATAAAACAATGGACATTTTGATTTGGTTTTGATTCGACCTAATTGGATTTCTTGCACCAGCGGAGCTGCCTTCTTTTTCTTATCACCTTTGTTTTAGTTTTGGCAGGTGTCATTGTCTATGTTCTGAGATTTACAGCCTGAATGGCGCTTCCATCACGGAGTCAGTTGTGCTAAGGTCTCAGGGCCTTCTAAGGTCTGGGGCCCTGTTACATTCCCCACTGGTCTTAGTGAATGAGTCTAATCATAGACTCATCCTGTTTGAAAGATGTGTTGTTGGTTCTAAGGACCAACTCAGAGCCACAAGAGTAGAGAGAATCACCATGTAGAGTCCTTTCCAAGTTGGTTTTATTTCCCCTTTTGCTACTCACTTGACCCAGACACTATCACTGGACTGGAACAAGGGGAAACTGGTGGTGGATTTGGAGATCAGATGGGTCTCTGGGGTATTCTAATGAACAGCCTGTGTGGAGGACTAGAGTGACTGGAGGGACAAAGGGATGGTTAGACAGTTCCGCTGGTCAAAGAGTCTGGGAAGCAGTGGGAGAGGTCTTTCCTACAGTCTCATAGGTGGTAAATCCCTCCCTGCCTGGTGGAGCAGTCAAAAGCAAAGCAAAGCAAAGCAAAGCAAAGCAATGCAAAGCAAAGCAAAGAGGCCTATCCATCTTTTGTAGGACTGTAATGAGAGTTTTGTTAGTGTGTGTGTGTGTGTGTGTCAGTGTGTCTATATCTGTGTGTCTTTTTATCTGACCAGAACTCTGAGGTCTATATGCACAATAAAGTCTTTAATCTATGCTTAATTAAGCCTTAGCTATTATTTCAGACGTTTTGACTTTGAAAACCAGACCATTGTTGAACCTCATTGTCAGGTGGAGGCTAAAATAGGGGAACCAGTTCCTGGAGGAGCTTTTTAAGCTTGAGCAGTTTCAGTCCAGGTGAGGAATCCTTTTACCCACCCTGAAAAAGTGTATTTACTGTCCCTTTAAGAGAAAAGCCACACCCATGCCCACTTCCTTACTTCAAAGGTAAGCTGATCTTCAGCTTCCAGCTGAGTCCTTTCTCTTTTCTATCTCCCTCTCTAAGAGGCAATGTCTGTCTCTCCCTACTTCTCCTCTTCACCCTTCTGTTTCTCTCTCTCTCTCTCTCTCTCTCTCTCTCTCTCTCTCTCTCTCTCCCCCTCTGCTCTTCTCCTTTCTCCCCTTCCCTTCCACAACTCACTAAATAAATATCCAACCTCACTCTTCATGGCATAACTATCCACGTCTCTGTCTCTTGCCTGCCGCATGTCTCCCTGCTTGGGACCAGCTACCTTTGGAGACCTGCAGCATGGCCTCTTGGTATGCCCATCCATCGTGGGACTTGCTGCCCCGCATGGCCCACTGCAGCCACTTGGAGAACTGTGCCGTCCCTGCCTGGGATTGGCTGCTCTCAGGAGAGAAAAAGAGGGCAGAGTCAAGGGAGTTGCAAGAGCCATAGCAGAAGCAAGATATTAGGTAACAAGTCACAAGCCCCAAGGTAAAATATAGAACAATAGAGATGAGTTGATTTAAGTTTTAAGAGCTAGTTAATAATAAGCCTGATCTAATTGGCCAAACAGTTTGTAATTAATATAAGCCTCTGAGTAGTAATTCAGGAACTGGTGGACAAGAAAGAAACCTCCAGTTACAGGGCTGTTTAGAGCAAGCTCAGGGCAGAGCAGGACAAATGCACACCTGGGGGAACTATTTCCCCCTTCCTGTGAGCACTCCACTTAGATGACAGGGGGCCTTGAATGAGAGGCCCAGGCCCTGGCTCTCCACAGCACCACACAGGAACCCACCTTGACCTTGAGCAGGAACCAAGCAAAAAACAGAGTTCCTGTTCCCAGAGCGGCACAGGTAGAGGATGTTTGGAGTTTCTCTGGGTGACCTGGCAATGCCAAAAGGATTTGGATAGGAGAGGACACAGGTCTTAAGCTGGGTGAGGGTAGGATCTCAAACAAGAAAAAAACACCTGCTCAATACAGGGAAACAAATCCACAGAAACAGATTGAAGGATACATACACAGACTTACATACAGACATACAAAGACACACACAGATTTACACAAACTTATACACACAGACATAAATACAGGCACACTAAAACACACACAGAGACTTATACATACACACACACACAGACTTACATACAGACACAGAAATTCACAGACTTACATACAGACACGCAAACACACACAGACTTACACACACACACACACACACACACACACACACACACAGTAAAAACAACCAGGGATGCTCAGCACACATTTATGCACCTGAACAAACAGAAGGATCAGTGATGTCTCATATGGATCCTGGACACTGGACTGTCAGGATTCCACTGACTTTTCGATCCTGCCTGGAAAGGAGAGTGAATGAAGACTGGAAGAGAAAAAAGACAAAAGACAAAAGACAAAAGACAAAAGATAGAGTCGGGAGGGCTCTCGGTGAATACTGCCGCCTTGAATTTAGTAGTAATATGTCATTTGTATTTTAATAAATAAAGTTTGCCTGAAGTTCAGAGAATAAAAGAGTTGTACTGATTGACTTTACAGACCAGGTAGTAGTGACACACCTTTAATCCCAATAGCCACACTAGTTTGCCTTAGAAACTAGGTGGTAGTGGTGCACACCTCTAATCTTAGAACTAGAGAGGAATACAAAATGGGAGGAGACAGCTTTCAGTTTCTTACATTGAGATTCTTGGAGGCAGGATGGCCATTTAGGACTGAGATAGAGCCAGTGGCTGGCTGTTTTGCTTTTCTGACCTTCAGGTTGAACCCAATTTTTGTCTCTGGGTTTTTATTAATCATGCTATCAATTTATTACTCATAGTCCTTTTCTACCCAAAGCAAAAGGGAAGGGCAATAGACTTCCTTACCATGGTTCAAGGAACAAACAAGCATAATCACCTTCTTAATTCTCAAAACATCTAATAAACATGCGTTTGGTCAAACATCCTGTTATTTGGCCTTGAGAAGCTTGAACTTTTCGACCTTGAGTCAAGATGGAAATAGTATCACTGTGGGCTCCCACACTGGATTAGCAGTTAAGCCAGACATCTCCAATGTGCCCAACAGAAGGCATCTTAACCAGACTTACCTCTGAAGGTGACAGACCAGGCAACTTTCTAATTTATTTCCTTTTGAGTTCTTCAGACTTCTCTGAAGCATTAGGCAGTTATTGACCTGGAGTTCTGGGGACCTAGAATATCTCAGATTGAGTATGCCCTAGGAGTCTGCTGATCACCACACTCTTCCTTACTCCAAGGGGGTCCACGACCCCGGTGTCTTGAGGTCTAGTCTACAGGATTTTGCTGAGGCCTCCAGAAATTTTGTGAGGTATTCACCATAGAACACTGCTAAGACATGGGTTAATCGAATAGAAACTCTTTATTAGCCAACGTGGCAACTGCACTGGATGTTCGGGATCCCAGTGTAGCATGGACCCTTTTTCAGGATGAGCTTTTAAGCATAAAAACCATGTCCTGGGTTGACATACTTTAGTGAACAAGAATAGTTCACCAGAAGTGGACTTGCAGAAGCTAAAAAGCAAGCTAAGTACATTAAGAGACTTTCCCAGAATTATATAGATTCTGATGAATTAGACTTTATTTTGTTTTGGCAGGTGTTGTTGTCTATGTGCTGAGATTTACAGCCTGAATGGCGCTTCCATCATGGAGTCAGTTGTGCTAAGGTCTCAGGGTCTACTAAGGTCTGGGACCCTGTTACAACAGGAAAGTGGATGCGACCATTTTCTGTTCTGGCAATTAGAAGGTGCTACGTGGTTCAAAGCAAAATGTTTCCAGAAGGTATTGTCACTTTGCAGGGCTTCCTCGTCTCCCCCAACCAAAGAAATAATTAAATAAACCATGCATGGACTTCTTAAAGATGCTGAGGACAATGTCACAGATCTGCTTGGGACTCAAACTTCTCCTGACCCATCAGCATCTGAGTGGCTATAAGATGCTGCCCATACACCCATTTAGATGAGTCAGGGAATTTAATAACATTAGTTTTACCAAATGGACTTAGGATAATCATTTCAGTTTGGATGTACAGTGTTGCTGTTTGTTTTCCTTTCTTATTCTGAGACAGGATCTCATTATGTAATGCATGACAGCCTGAAACCCCTGTGTCGCCAAGCATGACTATAAACTTGCCATCCTCTTGCCTCCCCTTGTGCTGGCATCACAGGTGTGTGCCACCACACATGGGTTTCTGCTGTGCTGAGGTTACAACCCAGGACTCCATGCATGCTTGGCAGGTACACTGAAACTGACCTCCATCCACAGCCAGGATGGCCGTCTTACAATGAGCTCTACGCTCAAATCAAGATGTCCCACAGTCCCTGAGCACCAAGTGAACTGCCCATGCCAGGGGAGCTATATAAAATATGTGCTAAGTCTTGTCAATGTCCTTCTCTGGAGCTGTGACCTTAAACAATGTGGACTCCAGTGATTAACAGTGCGTGTTTATAGAGGATGGCAATATTTTACTAGAACTCTGTGGCTTGAAAAGATTTCCAAGAAGTACAATGTTTTAAAAAATTACAAGACAGCTTAGTCCATAGGAACTCATTTTAGCAAAAAACAAGAGACAATGACAATCTTTTTACAAGCATTTGTCTAGAGGTGGAAATGTGAAAGTCACCCATCATCACGTTCTCTCGGGTACAGAAACAGTTGCAATAGGAGGACTGTAGTTTGTAGCTGTATGCGTTTTATCTTTTTATCATTTGAGATTGTAAAAACTCACTAATGTATGTATATTAAAATAATTTTTGTTTGCTTAATTAAATTAGTTTATTATTTTATTTATTTATTTATTCATGTGTGTGTGTAGATGGGCAATGGATCCCCTGGAGCTAGAGTTACAAGTCATTATAACCCCTTTACATGGTGCTAGGAAATTCATCCAGGTCCAGTGGAAGAGCCACAGGCACATAAACTGCTAACGCATCCCTGAAGTTTAATGTGTGGCATAAAAATTGGATGAAGGGGCAGGAGCGACACCCTGGAGCCTTGAACTGAATAAGGGCAGAAGCAGCTGAGCGGCAGCATTTGTCACCCTGCTTCCCGACTGTGCATGCAATGGCACCACCATTGTGTCTCATATTGCTGCTGCCACCATGGTCCCCACTATAATGGACTGTAACCTCAAACTGTGAGTCCAAATACACCCTTCCGCTGACTGAGAAGCCAAGGACAATGGCACTGGGTTTTGGTTCTACTGCATGCACTGACTTTCTGGGAGCCTGGTTTGTTTGGATGCTCACCTTTATAGACCTGGATGGAGGGGGAGGGCCTTGGACTTCCCATGGGGCAGGGAGCCCTGACTGCTCTTAGGAATAGAGAGGGAGGGTGAGGTGGGAAGGGGGAGGGAAGGGGGTGGTGGGGAGGAGGTGGAAATTTTTAATGAATAATCAATAAATTAAATAAAAATAAAAAATTTTTAAAAGAACATTATTGCATTTTATTTGAGAATAAAAGGACAGCATATTTTCAAAATACTTTCAAAATTTATTTTATATAAAAGTAAATTCCAATTGATTCACACACACACACACACACACACATATATGGAAAAATATCAGAAGGAGAGGGAGGGAGAGAGGGAAGGAGGAGGCACAGGGAGAGGGAGAGAAAGGAGCAGGAGAGAACGAGAACAAATGTCTCATGTGACATAGACAGTATTTGAGTAGACCGCATTTGTATGTCCTTGGGGTTTTTTTACAAGTTAAATTATTTCAAACTACATGACTAAATGTATCTTTTGTTGTTTTCTCACTAATGAAACATAAAATGGTTTTATTTACTCTACACACCTAAAAAAACAAATACACCCTTCCGTCCTCAGAAGAGTTAACAGAAAGTAAATTTCTTTAAGGAAAACAAAACAAGTCTCCAAATTAGGTATTGTTACAAAGATGGAAGTATTTTAATTAACATGATTTTGTTTTTTAGGCTAATTACAACCTCCCTCCCTTCCTCCCTCCCTCCCTCCCTCCCTCCCTCCCTCCCTCCCTCCCTCCCTTCCTTCCTTCCATCTTTCTCTTAGTAAGACATATTGTCCCAGAAGGATGCCACCAAGGATTCTGAAGAATAGGAGACCACACGCATACAAATGCTCCACTAAGAAACACTTTCCCTCTAACAAGTTTGGTCACCATGGGTGGAGGGGTGGACATTAGATTCTGCCACACCTGCCAGTTCAGGAAATCACCAATTCCCACTTATGGAAAACCCACTCCATTGTGTCATTCCTTTTCAATAGGAGTCACTTGAATTTCTTGGAACCACGTTAAGCAAATTTAATATTAAAAGTTTGTATTTCCAGAGCAGGAGACAAGGACATGATAAAGAGCTCCTTCCCAGTGTCCTTCAGAATGCAGTGGCAGCGGCTCTGCTCCTGGCTCGCTGGGTCTTGCTGCTCCATTGCCTGGATATTAACCTATCCTGCTGCATTCTGAGTCCCCTGAAGAAAAACTCAAAACTCTATTTCCTTCTTTTTAAAAGTTTTAAAAAATATTTATGTGTATGGATATTTTGCCTACCTATGTGTGTCCGTGCACCACATGCGTGCCTGGTGCCTGAGGAGGCCAGAAAAGAGTCAGTCAGATCCTGGGGATTGGAGTCACACGCAGTTTTCAGCCAGCATGTGGGCATCGGGACTCAACCCCAGGTCCTCTGGAAGAGCAGCCTGCACAACTAACCTCTGAGGTTTCTCTCTAGCCCCTCTTCATGGGATTGCTATCCAGCAGGCACGTACCCATCCTTCCAATCACAGCACAGAACTCATTTTGCACCAACTATGAGTCAAACATTAAGTAGGCTCCTGATGTATAGTGGATATGATTAGCATTTACTCTCTGATAAGAGCTGGACTGGAATAAACTACCCAAGAAAAACTGACTAGGGACGAGAAGGATGTTTTCTGGACAACACATGTAATTGGGAATCTGAAAGCTACAAGGCAGCCCTGCAAACATCAGAGAGAAGCGTCCTAAGAAAGGGAACAGCCATGGCCTAGGAGCCAGGACCAGGAGAACTCAGACTCTCCTAGCAGCAGACAGGAAGCCAGTGTGACTGAAGCAGAGAATCAGGAAGGAGAGGTGGCTAAGGTGGAGAGAGGCAGTCCCCAGGCAATTGCTGACAGGCTCCTCCACAACAGAGCAGGTGGGCCCTACTGAGAATCTTAGAGAGCTGGAATTCCTGGGCTACCAGGTGCGGACTCTGGACTATTAGGAGAGCAAGAGCGGAGCAGAGGCCCCAGTTAGGACCCCGCTTCCCAGAAGGGAGAGGGAGGAAGGTGAGAGGTGAATGAGCATAAAAACCCCTGGGATTCCCAGAAGCCTCCTGGGAATTGCTTGAGCTCCTGCGGTTTGTTTAATCTGGTTCTGTTTTGTTTTGTTTGTTTGGTCTACAGCTCTGCTTGTCCTGCAGCAGCCTCCTGCCTGCTTGATTGTGGGCGTGTCCCGTCACACCCGATGATGAACTGGATTCTTCAGACACATTTAAAACAGGACCCAACTGATGGCCCCGTGCTTAAGTCAAAATACAGTATTCTTGGGGCCGAGGATGTAACTAGAGTGAAGTGTTTGGCTAGCCTGGACTGAGGCTTGGGTGTGAGTGCCTCACAGTGGAGAGATTAGATTCTGTGGAGATCTACTCAGCCCTCTTGCCTGTTTCCGTGTCCCGAATGTCATGACTGGGAAGCCAAGTCTGTCCCGACATCCCCTCCTCCGGATCAAAGAGTTGATTAATGGACCCGAATTGATGTCCCTTTCCATCTAATCCCTCATGTCCTGTAGTTCCTAGGAACTAGACTTCAGAAGTGGACCCTGTTCTAAGAGTCATAAAGTTGAAACGCACTGTCAAAATGCTGCCACAGAGTTTTAATCCCAGCACTCGAGTTTGAAAAGGTTTAAAAAGAAGTATAACTTTTAGTAATGTAATGAACTCTCCCACAGCTGGTGATCGGTGACAATCTCAATGGCGTCTGGAAAGTTGTAGAATAAAAGAAAATTTAATAATCTCAACAAGACTGATTTATCTGTGGGATTATTAACAAAATTCATCTTGGATCTTTCTATCGATCCTCTCAACTGGTGTTGATTTTTTTCCTCCGAGAATATAGCAAAAACACAAACAGCAACTCTATCAAAGGAAAACATGACCATTTTAAAGACTTATCAGATACATACAAAATAGATTCTCGGTTATAGTAATATGAAAACCATTGGCTGGACTCTAACTCGACATCGGCTATTACTGCAACATCTGCTAGGGCGCAGACGCGCACTCTGGAATGTTTCCACTGCTCAAAGAGTTCTCTCAGTCACCTCTTATTGCAATGACCCCTGTCCACCAGGGTCAGTGTGGACATGATAACAGCAAACAGGCGGGGAAAATAGGCGTTACCCATTGTTACTACTGATAGTATTGGAGCCCATATATGTGACATGTTTTCCCTTGAGTCCCACATACGTTTTACAGAAAGCCACTGGTCACCATATTCTTGCATTCAAGCAAAACTTGTAAACGCTAGGTGGGACAGTCAGCCAGATTTCCAGACCCCTTCATGTCTGTCATGCATCTCTGGGAAGACTGAAGAACAGAGCAGACATCACAGTCTCAGAGACCAGCAGCCACCAGGCAGGAATCAGGAGGCAGGAGAGTTCAGGGGATAGCCCCCTCTGGTGACCTCACCACTGTAGAACTGGCTTAACAAATCTTTCCTGAAAAGCTCCAAACCAGGGTAATTGTCGCCAAAGTCCTGCTGTGATCTGTAGTTGCTGCATATTTCGGAACCAGAAAACACTGTAGTTTAAACACAAATATTTTAGAACAGACAAGGGAAGCCCTGGAATTCAACCACATTATAATGGATCATATTTCCAGAACTATGAGAAAGCATAACCAACTCTAACGGTAATATTAGAGTTCCTTCTATTTGTCTGTGAGGGAAATTAAACTTGCATGCTTCCACGATTTTACGATCCCTTGGGGAGGGGAGAAAAAGTGATATTTCAAATTACAATAAAATAGATAAAACATGATCATGAAATACTTTTAAATTCAGGATGTGCCACCAGCTTGCCATCTTTGGTTTTTTTTTAACTTTTTCATTTTATACCTCTCTTAATGGTTTTAATGATCAAGACAGAAGTCTATTTCCTGTATTACCCATGATTATGTTGACTAAAGGAAACTCAAAATACTAAAATGTTTGCTTGAAAGAATGTGCTGAAGTGAGTGAGAGACTGAAGCAGTGTTAATATAAAAATTAGGATGATGTGAACTGTGAGTTTGAGTATAAACAACAGAGGGTCACCCTTTCCACAACTGCTGGATGAATCGACACAGAACATAGCCTTGCAGCTGGAAAGGCTGTTTGCGTTGTCAAATCCAGTTGCTGTCTTTGCAGTCTCAGGCAGAGGGCTCCTCAGAGGGCCACTGGGACTCATTTTGTAGGGTAAACACTGTCTTCAACTATGTTCAAGACATTGTCTTCAGCTTGAGACTGGACAATTGCTGTGGTTTGCCCAGGTTCATTCTTAGAGACTCGGAACACTACCAAGCTGCAGAGAAAGAAAGAGAGAGAGAGAGAGAGAGAGATGTTGAAGAAAGAACAAGAGTTTACCTTTCAGGTCTAAGCAGAGATTTCAATCAAGATATATGCTCAAGACTCCAGGACACCCATTGACAAAATTCTTAACAGTAAATGGCACTACACAGGGCCCTCCTATTAAGTCATAGAAAAGTTTGTCTAGTAGGCATCAGACTAACTAAAAATCATTTTTTGAAAAAAGCAGTTCATATTGGAGTCCTTCAAGATACTAATGCAATGAAACACAAAAGTTGGAGGTCAAAAGAGACGGATATCTAGGCAGCTAACAGAGGTACCTAATCAGCACGTGCATTTTGGAACTGGGCCAGGAACTGGATAACTCATGTATTTACTTTGCACTGTGATGCTTTAGAAGTCTTAAGAGAACCTGGTAAATGGAGTGAGAGTCCTGGAACCCTGGGAAAAGGCAGCAGGAAAGAGCCAGCTCCATGGAGCTGTCCTCTGACCTCCTCAGGTGCCAGGGCCCTTCACAGCACCACACACATACCATGCACACAATAATACAAGATTTTCTTTATTGAGAAAGAAAGGGTCTTGAAACATTCAGAGCATCTAATCCTCTAACATTAAGCATGGAGGAGAAAAACATGCACAGTTCTGTTATACTCCTGGCAAACTCAGAAGTAATCTTTCTCTAAATCCTCTGCTCCCTTGGGGTGTCCTCAAACAGCCTACCTCCTAACCCTGTCATCCCCAGCACACTTCCCTAAAAGCACTTAAATGACCTTTCTACTAGCTTATATGCTCTGAGATATACTTCATCAGTTCTTAATAGAATAGGTACACAATGAAGGAAAACACTGAATGAAACAAGAATGGGTCAAACAATTCCTTCAGTACCAGCTCCAGGAAGCAAAGCTTGCACTTCAGTGTCCACCTATAAGAGACTGGGATCAAGGGGCCTTCTGTTCCTGTCCTACCATAAATACATAAACACAGAATGCAGAAAGTATCTCTGAGGAATAAGGGTAACAAGAAAGAGACTCATTAAACTTTATTTGGGGATCCAACCTACAAGAATAAAGGATAAGCATTTCGGAGGATATCTGGAATCCCAGAGTGAAAGAGCCTGAGGCAGGAGGATTGTGAGTTCCAGCCTGGCCTTGTTACATAGTAAGTTTCAGGCCAGTCTGAACTACATAGTGAAACCTGTCTCAAATCAACCAACCCAGCAATGAATCAATTAGTAATGAATGATTTAGTACAAAAGGGAGCATAGAGATATTCTCAAGATTGTTACTTCAAAAGGAATCCACACAATCCATGCTAGTTTACCTTCGAGATCCCGACTTCTTTTTCATAAGGATGTAACCTAAATTGGGGTGGGAAAAGGTGGGAGAAGTTGAAGGGAGAATTGCCCATGTCATCAGAAACACTCATGACACTTTTTCCTAATCAAGAATGTTGTCTCTGTTTATGATTGAAACGTCCCCAAGTAACTTTGGGTAATTCCTTTCTGTAACCTCAAGGAAAGATCCTTCCATTCAGTTTATTGTGTAATCATCCACATAGCCTAGTTTTCTTGAATAAGATTGGTAAATTTTTGCTCACTTAGACAAACAAAAAAATCTCGATTTTTTTTTAAAATGAGCTGTTAGAGAACAGTCCATAAGGGAAGAATAAATAACTTTGGACTAAACAAGTGAACACATTTGTGGTGTTTTACTAAATTTCTAAGTAATTGCCTTTGGGCGTTGTTTGATATGTAATCCAGACTAGCCACACATTTGTAGAATGTTAATATTATAGGCCCATGGCGCTACAACCACTTTAAATAACCATTTTGGATGAACAGCTTTTAAATAATTAGAGGGAAACATCCAAAATCTGACAGGCATATCCTTATTCCCCATTTATTTCCTATGAAGTAGGTCAGTAATGTTTTGTAAAGTCCATGGCTAACATTCTGTACAGTTATACAACTCACGGAAAAGGCCATGTAGGCCTGGGTGTCACCTTCAAATAGTCTGTTCCAGCATTAGTCATGGGATTTCCTACCAATGTTTCACTTGCCTTTTTTAATAAATGCATTTAACAGTACATTCAAGAGAACATTCAACAGTATGACCATGAGAAACAAGCGAGATCCAAGGGAAGGACAGGAGAGAATACATCAAAGGTCTTATAGTGACCTAAAATGTCAAGTCTATCTGAAATGTCTTGTGTCATAGTATTTAATTTTTTTATGGAAAATATAATGTTTCCTTTTTGATGGCAACAACTGAAAGACAAAGGACATGATTAGGGAACAAGAGTGTTGCCAAGCACTGCATCCTATTCCTGTGAACCCAGCACTGGGATATTGGAGGCCAGAGGATTTGGAGCTGGGGGCCATTCTCAGCTACCTAGTAAGGTCTGTACCAGTATGGAGTACATGAGATTAAGTTTTACAGAATAGGAGTCTTTGGAGACACAGTAGCAATGGTTCAAGGTCACTGAGCAGAGCACTCACCAAGCATCAGAAATCAGCCACAGAGTTTTGTGGGTCCTAACATAGACCTTGGGGAGTGGATGGTTTAACATGAGTGTGTTGGATCTGGGGATACTGAAGCCATGTGAACTCAAAGCCCCTGTGGCACGTGCACTTGCTTTAAAGACAGAGAGCCCTGGCTCTCCTTCCTCAGGGGCAGCTGTGAAATGACTTACTGGTGATCACCGCAGCGCACACAAGCAGCAGCAACAGCAGGGCAGCAGTTAAGACGCCAGTGGAGACGCTGTGACTCGTGGAGACGCTGTGACTCGTGGAGACGCTGTGACTCGTGGAGACGCTGTGACTCGTGTTCTTCAGCATCTCCCACAAAGAGACAGATTCCTAAGGAAGCAATAAATAACCAACGGTAAACACAGGGGAGGGGTACCAAGTGAGAGGAACAGAAAACAAATGCTTGGCCTTAACCTAGACCCAGACTCTAGGTCCTAGAACTTCATCTTTGTAGGGTGGTGGCTAGTCTGGTGGTCTCTGAGGTCGTAACAGGCAGTGGAATCAGTGTCTTTGATGATGATGGAAACATGTTCTATGTTGCTCGAGGTGATGATTACACAGTAGATGCCTCAGTCAAAATTCTAACTACATGCTTAATGTGGGTCCACACATCATGCATGTGATTATGTCTGTCTAATATTAGTCTGTAGGGTATTCTCTAAATGCATCATCTTATGATATTAAGAAAGAGAAAAAGAATAGCTTATCTGTAAGTTAACTTGTTCTCAGTGTGCTCAGCCCCTGACTGGTCCTTCATCACAGACCCTCCTTGCCTTGTAAATGTAACTCAAGATTGTATAACTTTATAAACATCTAATACCAAATGGTCAGTATGGGCAGGTTATATTAACATTTTAAGGAATACATTTATACATTAAATATGAATATATGTAATTCATTTTATATTTGATAGCTACATATTAATGATTATATATGATATATTAGTACTTTATATATTATATAGATTACGTATGCTAACATATTAATATATTAACAACTAATGGAACAGAGACCATGAATTAGAAATCAGGGAGAGGGTAAGTAGAAAGCTTTGAATGGAGTTGCAAAAAAAAAAAAAAGAAAACAATACAATTATATCCAATAACTTTCTAAAAATAGTAGGAGGACTCAGCTTAAGGATGCAGTCTGATTACTACTATGTGATCAGACCGGAATGCAGAATCTCCCTTAGTGCCCTGGTACAGGTAATGAGTGAGCTGTACATACTGGAAGAAGCAGGAGACAACAGAGCAACAGGTGAGGCCCCTCCAATAGCTTAGCACTAAGCTACTAATCCTAAACAGAGCCCACGGATGGTTTAACTGCAAGGAAAGGGAAGTCACAGACAAGGTCTTTGCCTGCCTGTGAGCCTCATCTATGGGGTCACAATCCAGGCTCCTCTGTTAAGTCAGGGAGACCATGGACAAGTTAGCCAAGCTCTGTGAGTGCTGTCTCTACGTCCTCAAGCAAGGGGTTCAGTGGGTTCCTGGGAAGGGATTCTCAGGTATTCTTGACAAACGCTGTGGGGAATACAAGGTTTGTTTGTTGTTCTGACAGGGTCTCCTGATCCCAGGCTGTTCTGAAATTCACTAGTTGACAATGACCTTGAACCTCTGATCCTCCTTCCTAAACCTCCTGAGACCTTGGACTGCTTCCCGCGCCCATGGAACATTTACTTCAGAGCATGTTCCCGATTATGAATGGCAGTACGCTTATCCTTTCTTTGTAATCTTCACAGATTTTGTTCAATTTCTTTTCATGAAATAGAGTCCATGAACTTGATCTACTGGTTCAAGATGTAAACTACTATTGATAGGCCTGAGGGTGCACACCTAAATCCCAGGACCTGAGAGGTGGAAGCGGGGTCGGTCAGGAGTTCCAGAACCTTCCTGCATACATAGCAAGGTCAAGCCTAGCCTGAGCTCCAAGGAATTCTGTCTCAAACAAATAAACAAATAAACAAACAGTTTGCTTAAAAACAAAACTGTGTGTTCTGTATATTGTTTTTGATGCACCTAGGGACAACTTCCAAGTCCAGAGTCACTACAGCTTATTTTGAATTCAACTCTAAGTTATTCCTCCGTGCTGCTAAGCATGACCGTTTCTCAGGTAACTGAGGCAAGAACAACCTTGACACGCAGTGCTGTTTGGTTTTATACAGAGCCATATGTCTGCTCCCTCAGCAGCACCTACTTACTGGTGTCTGGTACTTAACTAGTACACACAGATTCTTTCCACAACTGCCAGACCACTGGGTGCTAATGTCAATTAAGTCCTTATATTTTTATTGTCAGGATGGGCATGTGACACAGGCCTGTAATCCCAGTACTCAGTAGGCTGAGGCGGAAGATTGTGAGTTCTAGGCCAGCCTGAGCTATGAAATGAGATGATGTCTCAAAGGAGCGAGACAGTTATGGTGGGATTTACTCCTTTAATTTCAGTTCTTGAGGAACAGAGGTAGCAGAGTCAGGAGTACAAGGTCATCCTCAGCTGTGCAGTTAAATTCAAGGACAGCTGAACTATGTGAGACCCTTCTCAAAAAACAAACAAAAGAAACTTGCTTTCAGCCTTTATGTGTTATGTTCTGACTGTCAATAGGTATAAACGCCTTAGGCCATTTGGCCATATACAGATATGGTCACCTTGTCTTGAAGTGTCTTGTGGCTTGGTAGATTTGACAGTTCCAACCTGGGGTCTTACACATGCTAACAAAGGGCTCTGCTACTTCCAACAGCTAAATAATCCTCACAACTTCTATTTGGCTTTTTTTCTTATCTCAACCAACATATCTCCTACGCTAACTACACACATGAAAACAAACCTTGTTTCTTCCTGGAGACAAAATAGAAAAAAAAACCTATTGATAAATTTACTTTGGCTATTTGTAGAGATAGAACTCTGGCAAGAATCCCAGAAGCAGAGTGCCTTTGTTTTTTCTCAAGCTTAGTATACAAAACTCTAGGAAAAAATCATGCAAAATTAAGACTGTCTAAGACCTAATACCCTCTGTGGAGGTTTGTGTGCGTAAAAAAAATCACCAATGGGCTCTACAGGGAATGGTCAGTGGGTAGAAAACAATATTTGGAGACTCTAAACGAACATCTTGAATTCAAACTTCCTTTGTAAGCATCTTATTCTTCTTTTTAATTTTTTTATTTTTATACTTTTATGAGTTTATTTATCTACAGTTTTTGAGACAGGGTCTCACTATGTGGCCCAAGTTGCCTAATGGTCTAGGCTAGTTTCAAACTTCTGGTATCTTGTTTTAACTTCCGGATTCCTAAGAAAAAGGAATATACCACCATCTCTGACTTTTTTCTTTTCTTCCTCTTTTTGATACAAATATCTATCATCTAATTTTACAGACAAAACCATTAAATACAAATTGTTTCCCAGGAGACATACAAGTGAACATGACTAATAAATTAGGGAGAAATATGCTTACAGTGTAATTATTCCAAGAGTCATCTGATGATGTCACAGTGTTATTCCAATCTGTTCAACAAGAGGGAAAATTAATTATAAATACAAGAATTTAGATGTTTTCACTACATCTCTAAATATTACCCACAAGGCCAATATGTCTTATACAATGTGAAGGTTGGGTTTTAATATGGCAGAAGATTCACTGAACAGCATGTTTTGAAGATTTAAATAATCAAAGTATATTGGAAAAATCTATTTTATAACAAGGAATCTATTCTTTGCATTGTTTCTAAGTGTCTAGGACTGAAACACAGACTCCCCTTTCTGCCTATATCTTACATAATATGAGGCTTGTACCATCCTGACAAGGAGCCCCTTTGCTGTATTTAAAGATGAAGAAGCATACATCAGATGACTCCATATTTATAATTTTAGCAAATGGCAGACATCTCTGCTGTCAGTGTACACACATGACCACACAATGAGTTTCCACAATGAGTGGAAACACTACGGGTCTATGGGAGTCCCCAACAACTGCCAAAGCTGACATCGCCCAGCACAAATAAAAGTTGAATGACTCATAGCCCCCCTCATTCTCACTTCACTCTGTTTACATTTCACTCTCTGTGAGAGCCTTACCAGGAGTCAAAGGCAATGACTAGGTGTAGGTAGTATCTACAGTCTGGGCTCTGTTTGTGAGCTAGGCCCTTAAGTAAGACCTTCCAGGAACAAGAGGGAGTGATTCAGGAAGGTGAAGCTGAATCAGAGAAAACTTGAACTCAATACTGACCATATTCATTAGCAAAGTGACCTCATAATCAAGTTGCTGCAATAAACACTTAGGAATGCACGCATGGTCACTCAGCACTGTTGGAAACATGGGTGATGTTATTATTGTTATGTGATGGAAGGAGCAGGAAGCAGGAGCGTGAACGCTGTGGAGTTCACTTTAGAAATATCGTACCGCTTGTGTAATGAGGGCCACTCAACAACTTCTCCAAAGAAGTGTGCCCGGAATAGGGGACAAATGGAAAGGCGTGTGTCTCCAAAGGGAACTAAAGAGTTCCCCAATCTAGCAGTGACATAAATCACCATGAACTAATGAAATGGGATGGTGCCTAAGGGTCTTGGCGGCACAGCTACAAAAGGCAGGTGGTGGCCCATGTGACACCCAAATCCCTTTCAATCCTAATATTTCTTGTTTTTGCAGAATGTTCACCAAGGTAGAGATTCCCTGTGCACAGTAAGGACTCGCCCTGAGCCTCAAGTTACAAGGCCAAAATGCCAGCAGTCTCAAGAAAACCAGAGACTCAGCTGCTGCTGTTCCTGCTGCACTCTGCAAAGCTCTCCTCTGACCAGGGTTAGGTGACATGACATTACAGAGTCTGAACCCCCTCCTTCCTTCTTCTTCACACCTGGGAACAGTGGCAGAGAGCGGCTCCTGCTGCCTTGTGTTTGGATCTAGTTTCATTTTGTTTTTCTGCCTGGAAACAGTACACATCAAGGATTTCCCTCTCAACATCCAGAGGTCACCATTACCTAATCCTTTCTGACACTGTGGGTTCACTGCATATGACTTTAAATTAAGTAGTCGTCAGGAAAGCCTAGGCAAAGGTCAGCCACATAGATGAGGAGACCACAGAGAAGCAACTTCTGAGAATATTGAGTCACACACTCACACGTTAGCACACCCATGCACACACACACACACACACACACACACACACACACACGACCACCCAGAGTCCTGCAGGACTGGCCCTGTTAGGGAGGTACCTCAAGGACACGTGGGTCAGTTTTGTACCACAAAGGGCAGCTTGTGGCAGTCCCAACTGACCACTGTTGATAGCGGGGAGCTGAGGAATATGGCAGAGCCCAGCATTTCCACAGCTGATCAAGCAACACACACCACTACAGTTTTAAGGAGAAGTATAGGACCCAGCCAGAGTGTGACCAGTGGGGCAGAGTGTGCCGAGCGAGTGAGAATAGGGGTCTGCACGTCTATTTGGTGCTTCTGTTCGTATGCTCAACCCACCTTAGTCCATTTGGGTTGTCATTCTAAAATTGCTTAGAGTGAGTAAATTATAAACAAAAGAAATGCATTGGTCATAGTTCTAAAGGCTGGGAAGTCCCAGATCCAGATGCGAGCTGACTGAGTAGCTGCTGAGGGCTCCTTAGTTCAGAGATGATACTTCTTGTGTGTCCCCAAGCGAAGGGAAGGGAAAACCAGCCCCATCAGTCCTCTCACAAAGGATCTAACACTGCGCATGAACATCTTACTTTTATATCCTAATCAACTTCCAGATGACCTCAGCGCTTAATTACACATTACCAAAGGAAATTATGGGGACACATTCAGACCACAGTGCAATTTCAGATTTCCCATGTGAGCCTAAGACTGACAAGGCAGAAGAGGAGACTCTTTGCTATCCTGGAGGAAGTACAAGTGGCATGTTAGTGTGGCCATCAGGGAGCTGGTCCACTGTTTTGAGTCCCAAACAACTAAACCCAGGGATGAGCCTGGGATCAAACTGAGTGATTTGCTTTGTAAAAGAGTCACACGGACATAGGTGTTCCCAAGTCATAGCAGCTACCCGTTGTGGAATATCCCTTTACACTGTGAGAAGAATGTGTCACTGTGACTGATTAAAGAGCCGAATGGTCAATAGCTAGGCAGGAAGAAGTTGGGGGGACTTCTCAGGACAGAGAGGACTCAGAGAGGAAGAAAGGTGAAGTCCCCAGTCAGACTGAGGGGAAGCAGGATGGGACTACAGAGCACAGATAACCGAGCCACATTAAAAGAAAAAACTAGATTAAAAGATATGTTTTAATTTAAGCTATAAGAACTGTTTAGAAACAAGCCTAAGCTAAGGCCGAACTTTCATAATTAATAATAAGTCTCCGTGTTGTTTTTGATGAGCTGGCACACCAAAGAAAAATCTGTCCACAGCTACCTGTGCCAATCCTCCGGGCACTATGCCTAACAGTGTAGGTGTTATCTACACTGCATCTGTCACTGATGCCCTTTGCAAATATGACCCAAGTCCCCCATCACATTTTGTAACCACAATATTCAATAAAAATTTATTACAATAAACTGACTTTACTTTTAAAAAGTGCCATTATGTTCACTGAATAAATAATGTCGCAGATTCAAGAGAGTGGATATTTCTGTAAGTCACACAACTGTTAGTTAAGACAGAGATAAAACAGGAAAGACAGGAGTCATCAATGAGCCCCAGAAGGGAAGTCTGAGGCGGGTGGGGAGGCAATGGCTCATTGTCCCATGGCGGACAAGGGGGTGGTTGTACTGCTTATTCTGTTAACACATTCAAGAAACTTTGGGGGAACCACTGATAAAAGACAAAATTTCCTATTGAGTCAATCTATGCTATTCGCAGACATTTTAAACCAAGTAGCCATAAGCAGCAAGCAAGCCACACTTGTTGAGGGTCAAATGCTGTGGAAACTCCTGTTCTAGCCCTTCCCTTCCATTCCTGAATATAAACAAACATCCCTCTGAAATCTGTATCCCAACATGGTTTATGGGAGAAAATGATTTAAATATAAGTTTGTTATAAGTTACATCTTGGAGCACTGTTTCTAAAATCACAGCACTGAGAGGGATGGGGCACTTCTTACAAACCTCCAGAGATCCAACTTGAGAGCCACCAGCATCACATGTGCATTCAATTTAAAGACACCTCAGTGCTCTGCATGGAGAAGTCCATACATGTGCCCCAGTGTGTCCTATTCCTTTCTTAAGCATCTCTCTTCTTAGTGACCCTGTGCTTAGGATCTGAGTTCCAACACTCCATCACACTGACTGTGCCATACAATCTTTTCTTCAAAGAAGCCACACAGCCTAGCTTGGCCTGAATGGAGGTGCTTGTGGAAAGGGACCTCTGGAGGGTGCTGTCAGGGGTGGGATGGAGCTGTGCCTCTGTGCCTGCCACTGCTTACAATGTCAGATCTGCATTGCTGCAGAGGGCGTGTGCTCCTCAACACCAGCTTTACCAAGATCAGGACCTTCCAGGGGATTGGGCAGGGGGACATAGTTACCTGCAGGGTTGTAGGATGTGGTTTCTGTCACCTCGGCTGTAGTCTGACCTGGGTAAGATGTAGTGGGTTCTGGAATGAGAACAATGTAAGAACTGTTTCAGCTTTGGAGTTTGGACGCCACCAAGGAAAACAGAAACAAAACTTACCATTGCCTCCCCCAATGCCTCCCCCAGCCTCCTAAACAGGAATGACTCCTTTCTAGTAATTTCCACACCTGCTGACTCCTCTGAGAAATGTATCCAAAGATGGGCACTGTCTGTCATTGTCGCATTATCCTGAGCAAGTGAGGTGTGGGTTCTCATTTTCTGGACAACTTTATCAGGATTCAGAATTGCTTCACACTTCCCTTTCTACACCCCTGAACTCTAACTGGGGTGCATGCCTCTAGGTGCCAGCACTCATCGGCAGAGGAGAGTGAAATTCTGTGTAGGAGCAAACCTGGTATATAGAGCAAGTTCCAGAACAGCCAGGACTACACAGAGAAATCCTGTCTTCAAGAAACCAAAAACCAAATCCAAGACAAAACAAAAAATAGGCTTCTGAACTCCTCTGAAACACAGTTGATATGAACACGTGGAGAACCAGACACTCAGTTAAGATTAAGGTCTATCAAGTCAAGGTCATTTCACCTTCTAGGAAGGGCCTGGATGTTTCTCACCCCTCTTCACTGAGGCCTTAGTCAGGAACCAGATTCTTCACACTTCTTTCAGGGAGAAGAGCTCACCGGACAACATGGACTAGATGGACCATTTCATCACTGAGACCTTCTCAAGGTGGCAACATTACACTGGTGATGGTGTCCACACACAGTCTGCCTTGTGCTGTGGAATCCCCCCCATCTCTGTCTCGAGGTTGGTTGGTTGATTGATTGAGTGACTGAGACAAGGTCTCCTGCCCTCCAACCATTCCTTTACTAAGAGTGATTTCTGGTGTTTTCTGACTCATCTTCCGTTGCTCACCAAAGGCTTCCACGTGTGGAACACTCTAGTGCAGCCTGTATTTCCCTTTCCTTCCTAGAGTCCGTACATTGTTCCCACCAAGAGCTCACTTCACATGCAGAGCTGAGCTCTTGCCTCTCAGGGAGTCCTCTCGATGTTTTCAGAACAGGCGAGGATCTTGGAGTAAGTTGATTATGGCCAGACAGGAATTCCTAAGTCTGGGTTTCCTCATGGACCCCTCAGTGTCTTTTAGGATCCTCACTACAACCTGATCCTTACATCTGCACAACACCCTCCTGTTCTGCACTACTGCCCTGTTTTGTCCTTGTGCTCAAACATGTGACCGCCCTTCTGAACAACAGGACAACACAAACGTCAGGCGGTCACATGTTACCCAATTCAGTTCTTGACAAAAGGCATCATGAGCTTAACTTGCTCCCCCAGTCTGGGTCCCTTTCTCCCCTGTTCTTACAGCATCCTTCCATGTTCCACGAACAGTGTCTGGGCCACCAGGATGAGCACAAGAAGTGGACGTGAGGAAACACATCCCCATCTAACAGCAGCCAGAACGTTTGCCTTCTCCCTGGACTGGACTTTCAACCCTCAACTGCAATTCTTCAGGAAACTCAGAATAGAAAACTCAGATTACACTAACACTAGGCGTGTGGCCCAGTCTTTCAGGGTCCTCCTGCTTGAAAGTACCTGAAAGCCAGTGAGAAGAGAGGGAAATAAATTCCTCCCATCAGGTTCATCTAACAACAGCGAAAACTCTGTGGCTTCTTCTCTTGTCAGAGTCCAGCCCTACCGCAGGAGATGGACAGGTTGTAGGAAGCCTTGAGAACCTGCTAAGAGCTTTTTACTCCTAGATGTAGAAGGTTTGAACCTAAACTTGCCTTCAGGATGACTGGCTTATCCCCATTTGGAAGTCAAGGTATTCCCATTAATACTAACTTTACCTGTAGGTGATCTGAAGTATGAACTAAAGGTCTCACTCAAAAGCATGAGCATGCAAAATCATTTCCAAAAATGTTGAATTTGATGTGTGTGTGCTTTTTATTACTAAAAAGGACTTAATATTGCTCTTCGCATGCTACACGAATAAATTGAAACCTCCTTAAAGCAATCAGTTCAAGACATCGATTGCTCTTTAAAAGGGTGGTGTACAGTGTCTTTCCAGTGAGGATGTGGAAACAGTACAAACCCTCCAAACATCCCTGCTCATGGCCTGGGAGTCAGAAGAACCAGCTTCCAACTCAAGGGTCAGAGTCTGAGCCACTCTCTGTCTTCATCCCTTCCACCATGAACTGCCAGTCACTGTCACTATAAAAGAGGGACAGATCACTGCTATATAGGACATAATTGTCAGAGAATTAAGCACTGCATCATGGAGCATGGAGCATGCTTTCTGGGGATCAGGAAATGCTAAATATCAGCTTCCCTGAACTATGGCCTCAGCTGGATGGTCCAGTTTCAGAATGGATGTAAATGGGTCAAGAGTCTCCCTACTCTGACCCTTGTTCTCAGTCGGTCCTTAGTTTTTCAGCACAAAGTTGTGTCCAGCTGATCCCACCAGCCTCATCAACTCTCCTAGAGCCACCTCAGTCTGGCCAGGGTGAATCCCGGGGAACAGAGATGGTGTCCTCCATCTTCAGGCTCTTACTCAGCAGAGGGTGAATGCAACTTAAGACTGGAAAATTACAGACTTTGTGAAGCTGTTGTTGGGACACAGCTAAGAACTCTTCCCCTCTATTATACTTCTGTCTTGACTCAGTGTCTGTGTGTCCTACAGACGCTTATAAGAAGGTCTCTGGGTTCTGAACCACGTTGGGTTTTACCTGGTGTGTGAGTCTGCATGTGCGCTGGTGTTGTAGGAGTAGAGGTGGAGACTTTGGGTGATGCTGGTATATGTGTGGGTCTTGTTGACAGAGTTGTGGGTCTTCCTGTAGTTGTGGGTCTCCCTGTAGTTGTGGGTATCCTTATAGTTGTGGGTCTCCTTGTAGTTGTGGGTCTTGTTGGAGGACTTGTGGGAATTTCTGGGTATGGAAATCAAAATGAAATAAAGATGAGTCAACAAGAAGAGAGAAGAGCTTCTACTGTAGTGCCAGTGAGAGGCTTTCCCTACCAAAACTCCTCTCCTGAACTTCTCTTATTTGCCATTGACTAACTAGGATGTTGTGGGGTGGGGCATTAGAGACAGCTTCCCAATAGGAGGCAGCTCCCCAATAGGAGGCAGTTGTTCTGACAGCATGGAGATGAGAACAGAGCCCAGATTCCTAAGGACACACTTTATAAATGACAGCGGTCAGGTCCTCAGATCTCTCAGCATCTCTGAGACTGAGAGGGTACAGGGAACTAAAACTTCTCTCAGTAAAGACTGACTTCACTCACAGTTTCCAGGCCCAGCATGTTCCCTTCAGTCAGTCCTGAGAGGACACAGCGTACAGCCCTGCATCTTAGCGCACACATCCCACACAAATCCCAACACAAATGGGATTTGCACATTTGGATAGAGAATGGACATTGTCTTCTATGGTTTCTTACAATCTAACAGAAACAAGGTGAATACTCCTTATCAAAAAAAAAGTGCTTGGTTCCTGGAGTTAAAGTATTTAAATCTTCCTTAACAATTCAGAATAGTTGCATATAGATACTATCTTATGGGTCAGGCTCAAATATAACCATGATTTATATAGCATTCGTATAACTATACATTACATATATAGCTTAAAAGGTAACTTTAGAAACTGTGGATAATTGTGCACATTATAGTGTCTTGGCATTGAATTTTCCAGATGTATTTTCAAGTCCATGCTCAAAAGGTTCCAGATTTTGAATCTGGATTAGGCAGGTTCAACCTACAATTCACAAATCAACAGCATCTGTTGTATTAATTAAAACACTGCTTTGCCCATTAGCTTTAGCTTCTTATTGGCTAACTCTTACATCTTAATTTAACCCATTTCTATTAATCTGTGCATCACCACAAGGTCGTGGCCTACCAGCAAAGTTTGAGCATGCCTGACTCTGGCATTGGCTCCATAACATCTCTCTCTGATTCTGCCTTCTTCCTCCAAGCATTCCATTTAGTTTTCCCCACCTACCTATGCTATGCCCCATCAACAGGCCCAAGGCAATTTCTTTATTCATTAATGGTAATCACAGCATACAGAGGGAAATCCCACATCACCTCCCCTTTTTTGTTTAAATAAAAAGGCTTTAACATGGTAAAAATTACATAGAACAAAACAGTTATCAAGCAAGAATTATAGTTACAATATTTATATCTACTTTATCTTTTATTATAACTAGGGAAAACTATAATCATAACTATCTATTCTTTAACTCCATCAAAGACTCCAGAAGGATATGATATTACCTAAGTAAATAGGAAATACATTGTAAGCAACTTCCAAAACTCTAGGTTTGACAGAGACATCTGGCTACCTGGACAGTCACCCAGAGTTTATCTGCACCATTGAGGTATCCATCCTCAGCCTACAGGCCCATAGTATCCGACAGACTTGTACATGAAACAGGAAATTTTAAAGACAGTTCTGCCTATATTGACAGTTTGCCAGTCACTTTCTTCTGTATCCTGCTGAGTGTCTCGCAGACTCTTTCATGAAGCAGGAACCCCAAAGGATCATCTCACCTTTAGGCAAGTTCAGTAGTCATTTCTCTGTGGATCCTGCATGTCCACTTCATCGAACAAACTCCATAAGGAGCTTCTCCGATGCCCATCATCCTCTTGAAGTAGATTGGTGCTGCCAGGAGCAGATGTGTTTCACTGCCTTGAATTAAGATTCATTTTAGGACTTCATCTAAGCAAATAAAGTTGTCTGATGCCACCAAAGAGAATATTTAAGGCTGGGTTTGGTGGCACATGCCTGTGCTCTCAACACTGGAGTCGAGGCAGGAGGGTCAAGAGAGCATGGCAATCAGAGGACAGCCTGAGATACAGGAGAGTTTGTCTTTACACAACTCAAAAGCAAGCATCTAATCAAACATGTTCATAAGAACTTTGTGTTTCCTTGTTCTAGGAAGAGAACAAATTACTTGCAAACAGAGGATACAATTTACTTACAAGAAATAAAGAAAGAAAACAAAGAAAGCTTACCTGGCTTAACTTCCAATGAAAAGGTCACTTTTTGATCATTGAACCATCCACGAACCTCCACGCGGCAACAATATAGACCACTGTCACTCTGGACAGCGTTCTCTATAGTCAAGGACACATTTCCTCCCGAAATATTCCCCTTTAACTGGTATCTTCTGCTCCTCTGATAGGTAACTCGGTATCCATTGGTCCAGATAAGTGTGTTCGCACAATGAGAAGACGGGCATTCACCTTGGCCCCAGCATGTGTTAGAGGTTCCGAAAAATGTTGAGTAAGAACATGGCATTGTGACAGGGTGACCCACTACCCCCTTCACTACTACATAAGAATCCACAGCACCTGTGATGTAAAGAAGGGGGGAGAAGGGAAGAAATGGAGAATTAGTACCCAAAATGTTTCCAAAATTTTATTGTTGTTTGTCAAAAAATTTATAGGGAGGTGGGGAGGGGGATCTCGAGTGGAGCCCCAGCTGTAGCCTTTCTTTTTCATTCCTTTGGTTGTTTGCTTTATTGTTTTAGTTCTGGAGGGTTTATTGTGGGTAGTCATAAAAGGGAATGGCAACTTAATTTTTGTTGTTATCCTTTGGTTTTCTGAGCCAGGATCTCACTTTGTATCCTTGGCTGCTCTGGAACTTGCTGCATAAACCAGGCTGACTTCAAACTTCCAGAGCTCTGCTGCCTCTACCTCCCCAATCCTATGATTAAATGTCCAGTTTTACTGCTTGAACTTGAAGACTGTAAACATTTTCCTGTTAGCATATTCTTCTCAGTGTGATCACTTAGTGGATACATTTGTGAGCAAAACAACCTATCTTTGGCATGATATTCACTTGCTTCTTCTTCTTCTTCTTCTTCTTCTTCTTCTTCTTCTTCTTCTTCTTCTTCTTC